TATATACATTAATTTGTTTAATGAAATCAAAATTCTTTTTTAATGCACCAATTTTGACGAAGAAAAAGAACAGAAGAATGTTTCTTTGATATTTCTGCCTTCTTTATTAATATGTGAATGCTGCAAAAAAGCATTTTATTTGTAAAAATAATGAATTTCCATACATTATTTGGACAATTTATATGAATAAATCAGTTCATAAGTGATCAACAGTTTGTCTACAAATTCATTGCAACTATGAAACGTAAATGTTGAAATTTGAAATGATAATTGAAAAAACAATACATTAAATTATTTATTAAAAAAGGATATATCTCTTTTTCTACCATAATGTCAAGCATGCATAGTTTCAGTAGTCAATTTTCAAGAATTAATTTTATAAGTTTGCATCAATATTTAAGTGGCCGCGAAGTTACAAAACTAAAAGGACGTCAAAGTTACAGAAAATAAATATACCGAAGTAAAATATTTATCATTGCAAAAACATTTCCACTTTCGCATTTAAACACTACGGCTTGCATTCAGTAAAATGTGTGGAGAGCATTTAATTACTTTTGCTGATATTGCTGTATAATGTAGAATGAAACAAAATTACATTGATTCAGTAGTTCACTGTGTCTAGAATCTATACTGCGTGAACGAATCTTCTATCTGATAATTTTTTGGGGATATTCAAGGAATCAAATCTAAAATTTTAATGGCTAGTGTTTTAGCGAACTACAAGCGATCAAAATTTTAGATTAGGAGTTTTTTTTGTATGTAGATGGTGTGTACAAAAATGGCCGGAATATTCAGATGGAATGTCTGTTATTTTGCTCATTTTTTAATACAAATCAATATCGCGATTGGTGTTAAGAACATTTTTAAGAACTAAAAGTTTTACTTAAGCTGTTTAATTGTGCAAATTTTATTACTCATTGAGGTTAGATTTCCGTACAAGGATAAGGAGATGCATTATAACTAAAAAAAAATATTCTTTTATGTATTCAAAGAGGGACAAAAAAAAGAAGAAAAACTGCAAGCTGTGTTCATTTTATTCAACTTCGTTTGCAATAAGAGCACTTTTTATATCTCTTTAAAACGTTCTTTTTTTAGAACATTTTTCATTCTCCTCACTTTCTTCAGTGAAAAAAGCATACGATGTGCTGTACAAAATATGTAAAATAGATAATAAACAATTATCTTGGTAACAACTTTTTTTCTATAAAATATCACTTTTAATTAACAAAAACGAGAGATCACATTAGTTACCAGCAAAAATAAATCACATTTTATAGGGAGAGAAAACGAAACTAATAAAATATAGTCCATTTACAATTTTTTGAAAAATATGCCATAGGATTTCTTATACTTAAATATCTGGAGCTTCAGTATCAAATTTTAAAACACAGTGAAACCTCCAGGAAGGACCATCTCTATTTCCCAGAAAGCACGTAACCTTACGGCAACATTGTGTCTGAATTTTCCTTTTATTGTCACGGAAATGTTTGAACTAAAAACCTTTTTTCAATAAAGCAAAAATATTGCAGCTTCAAAGCTTTATATCCTAAAAGGATTAAAAATTATTTTTTAAAGCTTTTTTAAAAAAGTATTGTCACTTAGATCCATATTGACGTTTTAGGTCCATATTACGTCACACTAGCGATAGGATCAAATTAAATTGTCCATTAAAATTTCAAAGCAAGGTGGATTTTAGCTGAGTATACAAGACTTTTCGAAAAGAAACCTTATAATTACCTAGATTTAAGATTATTTTCACCTTGAGACACTAGCTTTATTAACGGATTTTTTTCACGCTTGAAAACCCTAAGTCAACCTCGGTTTAAGGTTTTCATATAGAAGGTTTTTCCCCCAAGGTTTTGGATTAGGGTGACGTGGGGAGAATAGAGCAGATTGTCTCAGATCTCGTTTTAAGGTTAGAAGGTTTACAGGTCAACCACATAACACACCTTTTTAGGTTTATATTAAAAGGTTTTTGCTGAGTTAAAATAAACCTTATTTTGCTATCTGGGATACGACCAATTTAGAGAGTCACGGATTATTTTCCATAGACTTTGCGTTGAAGAAAATCTTTAGGAGAGAGCATTAAAACTTTTCTCAGAGACCTTGCAAAAATCTGCATCATGTGCCTTCGATAAGTATTTTGAAGTCAATGGAGGTAACCTCCAAGAATGACCAACCTCCATCTTTCTGTGGAATGGAGAGTGGTCGATCCCGAGAGGTTTCACTGTATTGAGAAAAAAAAATGCGTTCTTAATAATTACTTTGAAAGCAAACCTCTAAATAATTAACTTCCATTTGAGTCAAATGAAAGGATACTGAAGCTAAAAACTGTTTCTATTTATCACTGTTGAGATCAACTACACAATATGTATTGATATGAAGCAGTAAAGATTTGGCGAAAAACAGTGCAGATAGTATGGAAAGCTTTAACCAGATGAAGCTACCTCAGTACCTTCTTGGTTGGTTTCGCTCAAGTTGAGGTTTTTGGTCTGGCGAACTTCTTCGATGTGGCGCTCCTGGAACAAAAATGAATGAAATAAAAGTTAACACGGTTTTTTGAACAACCTATCTGAGGGGAAAGACCGCTAGACAATGCCGAACCTTCATCTATCAAAAGATACCTCAAGATTGAATCAAGTTAGCATGTCTTGTATACTAGTGAATTGATGTTTAATAATCCTAGTGATAGTTACGCCAAAATACTCCACCATCAGAATTCGATGAACCGATACCACTAGTTGCCGTATTTGTGAAAGACCAAGAGAGCTGGATTAGGGTCACCAGGTTTTGAGCTTTAGCCATGAGAGCTGTATTAAATTCATTATTGTGTGTGTGGTCACTCCTGTGTTGCTGTTAGCAGTCAAGTGTGTGCTGAAACACGTTGTGTGCAAATGAGACTGAGAAGCAACAGGGCAAAGAGATCAAATGACGGAGGACAAAAGACGCAATAGCCTGTCAACATTTCAATGTGTACCATCCATCGAAGTAGGTGTGATCTTTTCACGTCCGCAGGTCCCCAATGTGGGGTAAGACCGTAAGACAATGCCAACCTTCATCTAGCAAAGGGTACCTCACGATTGAATCAAATTAGCATGTCTTGTATACTAGGGAATTGATATTTAACAATCGCAGTGGTAGTTACGCCACATATCTAGGAAATTACCCGCTTAAAGCAATTTGAGACAATGCTGTTTTATTCAATTTTATTTATCTCCTTTAAGATTTATTTCTAGTTTTTAAAAATGTATAAATTAGACAGGTATGCTAGTTCATAAAATAGAATATGTCTTACTAAATTTCCTATTCACATATTCATTTCAAAGTTGATGAACTGATACACAAATAAAAATCATAAAATATACACTGGAGGGAATGATAAGAGCCTAATTAAATAGGAATCCTAAAAGATTCACCCTAAACTGTAAAATGTATTCACGTATTTAAGATAAATGCTTACACGATTCAAAAATGAGCCTTAATCTCTTCGATCGCTATTTTGAGAGGCAATTAACAAATTTTCTGACAGTCAAAAGCTGGCGACTATTTTTAATTCCAATCAGCTAGTTTCAGGGGTTTTGGCAGTTGTGTGCTTAGCAGTTGTATCATATTAATATCTCTCACAACAAGGAAAAGTTATTAGAGTTGTAAGTTAAAGTTACAAGGAAATTTATTGATTTCATTGATTAAGCTGAAAAAAATTAAACTTAAGAGCTAGTGATTATAAAAAAAATACGTTTTGGCTATTACTAAATTGTTCATGAAAAATGTACACTGGGAAAATAATTATGACTACTAGGTATGGTTTGGCCGGCCAGAACTCCAAATATTAACAATACCTGAATGGGATATTATGTGGTATGGTAATGGTAATGGTAATGTAGATATTTCAGATATTAATTAACCCTCCATGCTCGATTTAGTTATTTCGTTTACTTTTGGAAATATTGGGATCTGTATGAAGCTCTTAAGAATTATTTGCAATTTTGTGGGTAAATTTACTGAAATGGTTTCAACTTACGTGTTCCTTTAGTTTTTCTTGAAGAGCCTTGAGCTTAGCTTCTCTGTTGTTTTCAAAAATTTCCATCCTTTGTTCGAGAGTCTCTTTGGTGGATTGTATGAAATTGTTGTTGTATTCTTGACGCTTCTGATTCGCTTCCTGCAATTTCGATTTCTTTTCGTTGATTTGATTAAGTCTTTCCGCTTCCAACATCTGAAAAATAAAATGTCAACTTTTATTTATACATTAATTGTTTGACTAAAATGTCAACAACAAATGATTGTATTTACTTATTTTCATTTTTTTGCAGTTAAGTTCTGGGTTGAAAGACACTATATACATTTTTCATTATTAATTTATTCATTAAATTGTCCTTTAAACATTGCTTCAACTATTGATTTTTAGTTGGTTTTTAGTTTAAAATGGAAAAACTCAAAGTGTTAATAAAAAAGAGGAATTATATTTTTTAAACTATTTTTATCGTAAATACAAAACAATGTTCATTTAGGTTTTAAAATGCTTATAAATTACAAACAGACAATGCTTGGAAAGACACAAGGCGGTGATAAAAAAGTATGTGTATTGTGTACCTTTTTTATTCAAAGGTGTGCGCATATGAAGTATTATAGTTCCCCATTATTTTTATCTTATGTACCAAATAAGGTCTATGCAGTTTTCAAAATTTTTATTAATTCTCTACTGAAAATGTTTGGAAAAACTCAAAGTGATGATAGAAAAAGAATTATAGTTCCTCAACTATTTTTATCTATTGCACGAAAGAAGGTCTATGTAGTTTTTAAAATTTTTGTAAATTCCAAACAGACAATGCTTGGAAAAACACAGAGTGATGATAAAAAAGTACGTGTATTGTATACCTTTTTTATTCAAAGGTGTGTGCAGATGAAGTATTATAGTTCCCAATTATTTTTATCTTACGTAAAAATAAGGTCTATTTAGTTTTTAAACTATTTACACATTCCAAACAGACAATGTTTGGGAAAACTCAAAATAATGATAAAAAGGAATTATAGTTCCCCAACTATTTTTATCTTATGTAAGAAATTAGGTGTTTGCAGTTTTTAAAATATTTATAAATTACAGACAGACAACGTTAGGAAAGGTACAAAGTGATAAAAAAAGAATTATAGTTCCCCCAAAAGTTTTATCTTACGTACAAAATAATATCCATGTAGTTTTTAAAATTTTTATGAATTCCAAGCAGACAATGTTTGGAAAAACTCAAAGTCATGATAAAGAAGGAATTATAGTTCCCCAAAAGTTGTTATCTTATGCACAAAATAAGATCTATATAGTCTTTAAAATTCTTATAAATTCGAAACAGGCAATGTACTTAAAGTACCTTCAAAATAAATAAATAATTATCTTACTTTATGAAAATATATCCCATTAACTAGATGAAATTTTAAAACGATTTTAGCAATTTTTTCGAATGAAACGTGACTGTATGTTAACATATTAATGTTCGATTCCAATTACGGACAAGCAAGAATAGCATTCCTAGTAGTTTCCTGTAAAAGTGTTTCTTTGCAACAATAGCATTCGAGTGGTAAAGAAAAGGAAAAAAAAAGAAGAAAAAAACGTCTTAACGTGTATTTTGAAGATCTGCGGGGCAAAAATTTTGTGTTGTTTTAAAAACCGAGGTAGTTTTAAAGAGTTTTAAAAAAAGACAGTTTTCTTTTCATCACCATGCTAGTCTAGAAAAAAATCAGCTGAAAAAATATTTATTTATAAGTAGAATATACGTATTTATAAATCAATAAATTTTCCTGTTATGGTATATTGTCGAAAACAAGTAGAAATGTAATGAATTTTTTACTTTACAGTGGGGAGTTTTATCCATGTATGAATTCAAATGGTAACTTAATATTAAAATGATGAGACATCTGCTCGTTTAGCTCATCAACCCTCATAACTGTTTCGTGACTATTTCATTGCCGCGTAATGAAATCTTATTTAAAATAACAATTATTAGATCACAAATTTTAGAAGTAATGTTAAAAAAGATTGCGTATTAGATAATTATACTTTTTATAATTTTAAGTGTGATAACTACCGAGCAAATAATTTGGAAAAAAAACTTCATATAATCATGCATATGTGAAAAGATTATATTTTTTCACCCATTTCTTTATTTGCATTTTATTCCAGTAACTTAAAAAAAAAGTGTTTTTTTTCTCAATGAAATTAATATTAAGTTCTTTTTTCTCTTTCTTTACACAAAAATTATTGTTATGTGACAGCAAATAACACCTAAAAATATTTTTCTTTCCTTTATACGTAATATTCTTTTTAAAAGAATTTTGAGAGAAAAATTAAATAAAACGTATGCAGCAAGTTAGGTTAATTTGTTACCCCAAATTGAGTGAGACGTATGAACAAATAGTTCAGAAGTTAAAAAGGTTTTGTGTTAAACAAAAAGGTAAAATGTTTTACCTTGTTCGTATCCTACACTATTATCTGGAGCAGCAAAATATTGTTTTGTATGGAAAATTTTTAATGCTAAATCCAATGAAACTAAGCACGAGTCAATAGGACCGATTATTCATAAGTTGAAATAGTCTTACATTTTTCGTTTCTGTACATGAAATAAGCATCTAATGGCATAAAACCGTTATCTAGTTTTCTTGGCGCATTTTTATTGGCCAGAAAATCACATGATATGATCCACTATTCTCACGGGTACACTGTTAGAATTTTCCTTCGAAAATTATGGTAAAATAACCTTCAGTAGACGTGATGGCTCAGAGAGAAAAACGTTCACCTTCCAATGTGGTGAACCGGGTTCGAATCCCAGCAATGACTGGTCAATGCGAATTCCGAATCCACATTGCACTGACTGCAGTGCTGACGTAAAATATCTTCAGTGGTAGACGAATCATGGGTTGGAATCCCCTTGCCGTAAGGCAAACTGTGGAATTTTCTCGTGGTCTTCCTCTCCAGGTAACGCAAATGCGGGTTAGTTCCATCAAAAAGTCATCCAAGAAGGCAAATTGCTCCCAATACTTGATCCAGGAGTTCGCTTGTCTTTTGGATTAGGTTTAAAATTTCAGGGTTATGGAGTTAGTAGTTGTAAGCCCAAAATTGGGTCGGTCATTCAACGACGGTTATAAGAAGAAAAAATTACCGGAATCAGTCTGTCCATCCAATTAACCGTAAAGTTTACGGCAACGAACATTTTTACTTTTACGGTTTTGAAACCGTTTGCTAGTAGTATGGCTAAAAACCTTGAATACGAATGTTTTTTTAACCATTTACAACTAGCGTGTATTCAAAACCATACAAAAAGAAGTTTAACTGGACATTTGAGATAGCAGCCTATGCGTGAAGGAGAGTATCGTATTCTAATAACCCAACGTCACAAATTGAAGACACAGGAAACCCTGTCATGCGTTGAAGAGAATTGAAGAAATATTGTGGCGTCACTGCTAGGACTTGAACCACCCTTCTGTCGGGCATAAGACAGACAGCTTTGCCCTCTCGGCTCGAATATTTACCCATCTGCAAGGAACTAAGTTGCTTCTTTAAGTGGGACTTTTTGGTCCGAGGAAATTCTGGTTGTTTAACCGTATTAGGTGAAAGAAGTTAATAAACGGTTTTTCTCACAATTGATGATTTGAATGCAATCTTATTTATTATTTGGTTTTGTTTGAATATGATGAAATAACAATTAAATAAATTGTAACTTAACCGTTTTTTTCCCGAAAAATTTCTAACTGTATAGATCCAGATTTCTTGGTTTTTTTTCCTTTTTTTCCCAATGCCCACCTATGTTGACATTTTTTCGTCAATTCAGGCACTTACAGGCAATTTTGTTGGCCTCTCTTTCAGGGGCAACCTATTAGGTGGGCCAACGCTGCTCCCACAGTAAGGACAGATAGTACAGAGAAGGAAAGAACATCCATGCCTTGCCCGGAATTCGAACCCAGAACCTTTCTGATGCAAGGGCAGTTCCCTAATCTCAACACAGACCGGTCGGCTTTCTTGGGTTGTTATTAGTGTAAAAATAATGAAAGTATTGCTTACATGAAATATTTCTCTATTCCGAATTCAAAGTGCTAACCTACAAAGGTATTTCTTCTTCTTCTCATTGGCACGATAGCTCAGAATGGGCCCTGGCCTTCTCACCAAGCCTATGCCAAGACAATCTTCCCTTAGCCAAGATTCTCCAGTTTATTACCTTTAAAACTTGTAGGTCCTTTTCAAGGCAGTCTAGAAATCTTATGTTTGGTCGTCCTCTTTTTCTTGTACCTGTTGGCCTGGCACTGAAAACTTTTTTGGTTGTCCTGTTATCCTCCATTCTTATAATGCGGCCTGCCCATTTAATCCTTTGAATTTTGATAAATTTAATGACATCAGGTTCTTTATATGCTTTGTAAAGTTCCGTGTTTGATCTTCTAAGCCAGGTACCATTTTTACTTATTCAACGAAAAAAGGTATTTATTGAAATCAAGAGTTTTAAAACTCTAATTACGGTCTCTATGCTCTATTATATATCGTTATAATGTGCAATACATGTAGTTAAGTACGAAACAGTTAATGAAAAGTATATTTAATTCGATATCTAGTATCCGCATGTTATATATTCGAAATATTTAATTAAAATAATTCGTGTAGTTCTTAAAACATTTTTGTGAATAAAATTTTCTCATTATTAATAGACACTTTCTAGGGAGAAAAACATCGAGCTAGTTATTATTATCAACAAAACATTTATATAAAACTAAAATATATACCCATAGATAAATTGTTATAGATGAAGTTGTCATGGGCAACGAGCAATATGATTAGATTTTTAATTTTATCCCATAAGGATTTTGCATCAAAAACCGCGTAAATGCAATAAAAAGTTCGGTAAATTTTTAACTTTAACGATACGCTTATCGCTTCTTCGAAAAGTAAATAATAATAATACTAATTATTGTGTAAAGTTGAGAAACTAAAAATAATTGTAAAGCATTTGGGGTGATTAATGAGCAAAGCGAGCAGGGGTCAGAGCTTTAAATTAGTTTTTGATTTAATTTTTAAATTAATATTTAAATTTGTTTTCGAATTTTTTAGTTTGTGAAGTTAATAATATTATTTTAAATCTTTGTGGACTACCTACTATATAATAATGCATGTGTTACTCTGAATGACCGATCTTAGTGGTTGTTGACTTCCATGGGTGAATGTTGACAATCACATAGTCGCGTTGGTAAATGTCCAAAATATACACTGAGTGGCCAAATTATTATGACTACCCCTTCAGTACGGCGCAATGTGCGTCGAACAGTTCGTTCAGAGACGTTCACAGCTCCTTGATTAAGATCACTTGCAATTTGTCACACTGTTGCTATCCTGTTGCGCTGCACAACCCTGGCCAGTCTTTTCTCTGATCGAGCATTAAGTACCCTGTGACGACCACAAGTCTGACGTTGAGACCCAGTTTTTTGCTTGATTGTTCATTCTTTGTACACATTAACAACTGCTACTCTAGAACACTCCACAAGTGCAGCCGTTTTGCTGATACTCGTTCCGACACATCTCGCAACCACAATCATTCCACGTTGAAATTCAGTTAAATAACTTTTCTTTCCCATATCTGAGCAAGCAACACAGTATAACTGATGACTCACTTGTCCAGCATTCCCGTGTTATAGCTATCTTGCCCTCTAGCGGCAGAGCTGTGACGCAATAACTCATTTGCATAAAACTCTGAGGTGGTCATAATAATTTGGCCACTCAGTGTATACTAGGTCTAGTTAAGTGCCCCTCCCCGGTATGCATACACCAGGTATGTTCTACAGTAATGTTTTGGTAAGATCATGTACCACTGTCCGGCATGTATTTGCTCGGTATTTCCTACATTGATGCTTTTTTTAAGGTCAAGTGCCATTTCTCGGTATGCCCTACAGTGATGTATTTTTAATGTTCATTGCCACTGCCCGGTATACCTTACACATATGTTTTTTTCAAGATTCAGTGCCACTGCGCAGTATACATTTGCCCGGTATACTCAGTACTGATGTCTTTTTAAGGTCAAGTGCCCAGCAACATTTACACATTTTTGTGAAAATGGTTCAATAGGGTAAGGGAAAAGCATTAGTAAGAAAGTTCTGCCGAATGAGAAAGATTTTTCAGCAATATTGATAAGCAAATCACATAATAAATACAGATTGTTTTAGTATCCAAAAATTTTAATTATTTTTAAAAAAAGTGATTCAAAACATAATTTCTATTATATTCAATATCAATATTAGGCAACAATACAAGCCATTTGCGTACCTATTATTACTTCATAAATGACAAAAATAATAAAAAATTTTGTTATTTTTTGTGCTACATATTTTCCAAAGGCATTAGTATCATTCATTTTATTTTCTCACCTCGTAGTAACTCCTTAAATCCTATATACGAAACTATATCTATATACGAAATCCAATATACGAAAAATAATCCTATATACCCATATACGTACTATATACCTATATACGTATACTATAATCCTATATACGAAACTATTACTATATATGAAAATCTAATGAGGATGTTGGTGCATTTTTAAAGGCCGAAAAAAATCACAAGATGGGATCCAGTTTTCTGAAATTAATTTCTATATTTTCTTTAATCATCAGCATGAAATTAATAGTAATGATAAAAGTATTGTAAAAATCTTTGTATCCCAAATTTAAAGGAAATATTTCTTTTTCTGATTCTAACTCTGCTATTATTATGTTTTTAAATTTTGATTGCTTTCTAAAGTAAGAAGTTAAAACTAAAAGTGTTATTTTTTAAAACGTAATTCTATAATATTACCTTATATCGCAGGCACAAATGTTATTCGATATATCAGCCTGTGCGGTAAGGATAAAAAAATTAAAACAAATTTGTTTTAACGATATACTTTTAGTAATTGAAAAAAAATATTACTAAACCAAATTATTTATGTTCATTAATAAATTTTAATGGAATCATAAGGGATATGTTTGGATGTTAGAAGTGAGTCACAAGCGTAAGTAGTACTTTTTACTAAGCAGTAGTAGTATTACGTAGTACTTAGTACTACCTAGTAGCATTATTACTAAGTAAGTAATAGTACTACGTAAGTAGTACTTTTATTAGCATATATATTTTAATTGAATATTTCCAACTTTAGTAGAAAAAAAACTGTTTCAGGCCAAGAAACAATTCTTTTTTGATATTGTGGGTAGTGTAGTCATTGACAATGTTACCTTTTTTCTATCATACGCTACTCTAAGATTGAATCAAGTTATCATGTTTTATATACTAGTGAATTTACGTTTTACAATCGTAGCGGTAGTTACGCTACAATACTCCACCACCAGAATTTGATGAATGGATATCACTAGTTGCGGTATTTGCGAAAGATTTGCAGATATTCTACTCAAGGTGGGAGGAAATGTGGTGAGTTAAAATCCGAACTGAAATTTTGACGCTAGCGCATGCGCCCCTCCATTGGATAACCTCCGCCAAAAACATCTATATTAGTTGGCGTTATTTACGAGATTTGGATGTACGATGCTTTGCATTCCTACTTGTTAATTGTATACCTCAGGACAGCTGTGTCAAGTTCACCGAATTTTGAGGTCTTGTCGGGGGAGCTGTATTAAGTTCACTATTAAATGTGTGGTCTCTCCTGTGTTGCTATTAGCAATCGAGTGTGTACAGGAACCCGTTGTGTGATATGAGATTGCGAGGAGGACGATGACGCAGTTACATCTAGCAAGTCAAGTGTTCAATGTGGACTTTTTATCCAAGTAGGCGTGATCATATTACGTCCGAAGTTCATCAATGTTAGTGTTAACAACATTGCCAACCTTCATCTTTTACAATGTATCCCAAGATTGAATCGAGTTAGCGTGTCTTTTATATTAGTGAATAGATGTTAAATAATCGTAGTGGTAGTTACGCCAAAACATAAAACAGTTTTTTCCGTTTTTTATAAATATTTTGGTGTAAAACAGTTTTTTATACACTGTTACCAATGATTGCGCTATACTCATTGGAGTTGGTTAGCGCAGGGGATCTAGCACCCTAATTTTTAAATATATGGTTAGGTTGTATTTTGAGTTTTTTTTAATAGCCCCGTTGAAAATGATTGGAAATGCCTTACGAGTCTTCTCTCCTCGGCGGCCTTCAGTTTTTGTTCGATCTCTTCCACGGACATACTCTTGGGTGGTGACGTGATTTGCTCTTTTTTGGGTGGATCATTGACGGATGGCTCAGACAAGACCAGCTCGTACTTGATTCCTCCCTTAGCTGTTTCTTCGGCACGAATAGCAGCTGTAAACGACACAACATTAGAAAAAAAATACAGCCAATAGAATACTTCAAGTAAAATAACAACAAAAAAAAACTTAAATTGATAATCAACTAAAACTTTAAACATATATCCCAGTTTGCAGGCAACCTTAATAAAAATGTTGTATTTTGATTTTCATTTGGTTGGAATAGAAAAAAATCAGAAAAATGGATAAAAAATGAAATTTTTTTTTACTGTTTATGTTTGTTCTTTATATTATTATAACAGTTAGAAAATTGTTTTTCATTACAAAAATAAAATTTTAAATGCACTAACTACTGTATTTATAATTTTTACATAGACATAAAAAAGTAATGGATTGCACACACATCTTATTCAATTAGAGCAAAATTTTGAAGGTAAATATGATATAACTAGTATAATATAATATAAAAACACAACAATATGATTTTCAATGCATACACTTTATAAATCCTTCAGGACATGGTATATCCTAAAACTCCTACCAGTATTTCCTTCCCTCGACTGATCTCGTAATCGGGGAAAAACTGGGACCACTAGTGCCATCTATTAGGAAAATAGTGAATTAAATATCCTAAAGTAGAAACGACAGCAGCTCGGGCTTCACAAAATAGAAACGTTAATTTTTCAAATAGAAAAGTAAATTTTGTTTCAGTGATATTCATGAAATTTAAAATAAACCTTGAGAATGCGAATTCTATTCTCGATTTGAAAACGCTTTCTACTCTTGAGATTGATCACTCAATCGCGATTTCAGAAGGTTTTTCTAGCCATGTTTTGTAAAGGCAGATTCAATCCCTACTTAAAAAAAGTTGTGTATCTAAGCTTAATAGGAACTTTATAGCAGATAAACTAGCATAGTTAAATTTAACATTGTTTCAAGCTTACATGATTTAATTGCTAGCCTTTTATAAACCTTGTTAGGGCTTTATGATAAAGTTTTTTGCTGGCATGAAGATCAACCTTACACTGCTATATGCTTTATTGTTTCGATTCATGTCCCGTTTTGCATTTTTTAATGCTTATAGTGTGTAAACCTATTTTGTAAAAATATTTTTCAAAATCTTTAACATTTTTAGACTGTTATCAATGCTTTTAGAGGGAACCAATACACGAATCTATTCTGCTCCTTATCCTTAGTCCACCAAAATGTTTAACGGAATTCAAGTTTATTTTAAATGATTGAATTACATTCAATGGGACCTAAATATGAATGTTAATTTTCATTCGTTTCAAAAGTTCTTTTCCTTTCAGCGAAAAAGCTTTTTATTATCTTTAAATTTCTGCCGTTTTCACCATTTTTGGAAACTATATCAGGAATTTCAATCTCTTTTAAAAAATTTTGAATTATATTCTAAAAGTTCCTGTTCAACTAATTAAAATTGTCAAATTACTTTTAGGCGTGATTCCGTGACATAGTTACACAATAGTTTTGGGAAACAAAATCGGATATGGGGTTCAAATATTTTACTATAACAGGAAAATTGAATGAGGGGATAAAATTTCTCTTTAATTTTAAAAACAAATCACATAGTTTGATTTTCAATGAACAAAGATGGTATAAAAACTATCAAATAACTTAACTACTCATCTGGCCAATGGTAAATGGCAACTGTATAATTTATAACATCAAAGAAAAATTCGAAATTCAAAGCGTGGGGTAATATATTTTTATTCAAATGTTGCACTCGGTAAGTTCACAAGTTTCAAAGGGTAACAATGTTGTTTAATACTACAATACATTATAAATTATATTGGTGGTGGTTGGTTAATCTGCTGCCGGCTCGCAATGACCGGGGCTTTGACGTAAATTATTTTCAGTAGATCATGGGTTAGAATCCCCAAACATTGAGCAAATTGTGGGAGATTTTCGTAGTTTTATTTTCCATGTAACGCAAATGCTGGTTAATTTCATCAAAAAATTCTCCCCAAAATTCTCCCACTTTGTTCCAATCCAGGATTTCCCTTGTTTTTCTAGGCTAGGTTCAAAATTAAAAGGCTGCGGAGTTATACATTGATAACTCAGAATTGAGACGGATTTTTAATACCGGTTATAAAATAAAATAAATATAATCGTATTTTTTTCCCCTCCATTTTCAAATATTATTGAGTTCTGATTGTTGTTTTTACATTTTGTATTACATTTCAAAGGTTTTTGCTTTATTTTTTAATAATAAATGTTACGTTAAAGAACTGTTTTTCAGACGATATCGCAAAATTTGAAGTTAATGTGCAAAACATTATTGAAACCTCGTAATTTTGGCATTCATATAATAAATAAAAAATAGCATCGCTTTTTACCACAGCATGAAATGAATTATCTTTCTTTTCACATTTCATCGACATTTTTCTTTTTATTTAAAATGTTCAAAAAAATAAATAAAACTATTTTTTCCCATAGCTTTAGCTTTTCTTTAGAAACGTTATATATTGTTGTCTCCACCTCAAAACTGCCGAAATCCCAATTTAAAAATAAATCCAGAGTTAGCGTAAAGAAACGAGAATAAGTCAAAATTATCGAAACGAAGTATTTTTTACCGTTAATGACCAAAATCAAGAGAATGTCGACTTTCATCGGTGAATGTCAACATTCACACAGTCGCTTTGGTGAATGTCCCAAATATTTGTTATATCCGTTTCGATATTAATTTGTTCGTTGGTATTATTGTATTTAATCGATGTCTTAATATCTGCTGAGGAAAGATTAGGAGAAACAGTGTTCGGAGTACCGGTAAAATGCATACTGGGCACTTGACCTTAAAAAACATCAGTGTAGGGTATACCGGGCAAATGTATACCAAGCAGTGGCAATGATTCTTAAAAAAAAAACATCTGTGTAAGGTATACCGGGCAGTGGTATTGAACCTTAAAAAGCACCAGTGTAGTGTATACCATGCAAATGTATACCGGGCAGGGACAATGAACCTTAAAAATACATCAGTGTAGGGCATACCGAGAAGCGGTACTTGACCTTAAAAACATTAATATAGGGCATACCGGACAAATATATACCAGGCAGTGGCATTTGATCTTAAAAAACCATTGATGTAGGGCATACCGGGCAGTGGCACTTAAGTAGATTTAGTATATATTTCGGACATTTACTAAAGCGAATACGGGATTCTCAGCATTTACCCATGAAAGTCAACAATCACCAATATCGGTCATTCAGAGTAACACATACATTATTATATAGACTATTGTCCAGAAAGATTTAAAATAACATTATTAACTTCACAAGCTAAAAATTCAAAGACTAATTTAAATTTGAATTTAGAAACTCATTTAAAATTTAATTTAAAAGTCTGACCCTTGCTCGTTGTGCTCATTAATCACCCCGATTGCTAAAATTGAACTANCAGTGGCATTTGACCTTAAAAAAACATTGATGTAGGGCATACCGGGCAATTGCATACCGGTAAGTGGAATTAACCTCTAAAAAATTATTGATGTAGGGCATACCGGGCAGTGGCACTTAAGTAGATTTGGTATATATTTCGGACATTTACTAAAGCGAATACGGGATTCTCAACATTTACCCATGGAAGTCAACAATCACCAATATCGGTCATTCAGAGTAACACATACATTATTATATAGTATATTGTCCAGAAAGATTTAAAATAACATTATTAACTTCACAAGCTAAAAATTCAAAAACTAATTTAAATTTGAATTTAGAAACTAATTTAAAATTTAATTTAAAGCTCTGACCCTTGCTCGTTGTGCTCATTAATCACCCCGATTGCTAAAATTGAACTAATGAACAAATTGTTTGATTGAACCATTGATTGAACAAAAAAAAAAGGAAAATGATTCCATTTGAGATACTCCTCAGTTATGAGTTGAAAAGTACAGTAATTTTTTCATAATTACTAAAAGTTTGTTATTTTTTTCCAGAGCTTTTAATATTGAAAGGTTTCCTTTTATTTTCTTCTAACAGTAAGGTTAGAAACAACACCGCTGCTTTTCAATGAGAAAAGTTCAATAATAACAAGTTCAATAAGAAATAATTTAAAGAACACATTGTTTATCTAAAGAAAGAGTACTCTCTCTTTTTTACAATTTCTGAGAATGTTTAATTTCATGCAACAGAAGTGCGGATATAAAATCAGACGGAATTTTTTTTCTAAATTCTTAGAATATTTATTGACATTTAGAATAGATTATAGAGTAAACAAGCTACCTTTTCCGGGTTCAGGGAAGGAGAGTAATAGCTCATGTGGGTTGATGATAAACGGCACGCTACTTCACTTTGTAGAAGATCAATTCCAGAATAAGTTCAACAATAACTTGCACGCAAATGCAATTATCAAAATTTTTTACGCAACTCAAGTTTGATTTTTTTTTCTTGTTAATATTTTCACTTTCATAACTAAATATTAAAACTAAATAACATTTATCGTGCTTTGTTTATGAATATATTTTTTCATTGCAAATAGTTAACAGAGTACCCATTCATGCATTCATCCACAGATCGTAATTTTGACTCGAACCAGTGAACCAGTACCCCCGGAGGTATAATTTGTTAAAGGAACATAGAGGACTTTGTGGTCCGACATATTTAGCGTGCACCATTTACTACACGGGAGTCTTCGGCTGGCTGGATTCGAACTCCCGTTTTCGCGAGTGTAAGTTTTGAGCCCTGCCAACCAGGTTCCCACAATCTTCATCAATGGTCAATATAAAATAGTTGTTTAAAATGGCCTCATTGCAATTTTTTTTTTGTTGCCAGAAAACATTAAATTACATACATATATTATTTTCAATGAATTGATGAAAAGTAATGTTTTAATATTAATGAGGCAAATGATGTAAATAAAAAAAATGAAAGGTAAGATTGAGGAAGCTAAATATAGAGCAAATCTTCTCTCCTCAAATAAATAAATAAACACTACATCCCTTAAGCCTTATATTGCATCTAAAATATGCTTTTAATGTGCACATGTTGTGCTTACACAAATGGAATTAGTAAAGAATTAGTTCTTTTGTGCTATGA